ATTGGATAAACATATGGATGATAATGGAATAGTTTAGGTTAGATGGGCTTCAGATTGGTTTCACAGGTCGGCGCAACATCAAGGACCGAAGGGCCCGTACTGCGCTGTACTGTTCTATGTTCTATGTTCTGTGCACTCCCCAACCTGATCAAATGGCCTTCCATATCGAAACTCATCTTGGGACTGGGGGACATTAAATTCCACCCACTCTTCTTACTGAATTTGTGAATGAGGGTTAATCTGGGAGGGAAATCAGTCAGAACTACCAAATGCTATTATTTACTCCCCTCAATTTTATAGATATTTTCTAATCACCTGTTACTGCACACCTCTGGATCAGGTGAGACTTGAACCTGGGCATCCTGGCCCAGAGGTAGGGACAATACCACTACACCATAAGAGCCCCTCACTCAATTTTATACCTACCCATTTAAATAAATGGATAATTGAGCAGGTTCAATTTTGTGTGTGAGCTTCCCTGTGCATTTATCCTTTATATGTTATACCTGGGTGAAGAAGATCCTTCTTAGAGGAGGTAAGATAACTGTGCACCTGATCCATTATAAATAATTCTACCCTTAACCTCAGGAGTAACTCTCAATGACTGGATTTTCACAAAAAGGTAACATGAAATATCTCTGCCTTGAATTTTTTAAATATGTTGTCCAATTCGCCTGCCAAAACTTACTTTGGGATAGCAGAACCCCTGTGAAAGTGATGTGTACCATTTGTTTAAATGTCTTCCTATTTGCTTTAATTAAAGAGCACAATTATACTTGACTCCAGTCCAACTCCTGCTGGTTTTAAATTTTTTTTCTATGTATTTAATGTTAAAGCTGGTTCCAATTTTTAAGTCAGCACCAGGAATCTGCACTGAATTTGAGCATCAGATATAAGAGGTGCCTCTAGCAGGGTTACTTTTATGCTGCTAGGACTTCTTGTCTAAATTTGGCAGAAGGATTGAGTTTAAGTAATGGAAGGAAATTGGGACCACCACTGCAGAAATTCAGGGAGCTGGTCATGATTATGCATTTACCACTCTCATGAAACCGTACCGCTGTCTCTTTCACTGTTGCACAACAACTTGTAGGAATCCTGTAAATTGTTTTTCAAAGGGCAAATTAATTATAATGCATTGGAACACAGGAAGTGCTGGATAAAAGATGCCAAGGTCTATGTAGTTTGCTATCTATCACCCTGGCCTTGATTTGGCAATAATGGAGTTGTTGCCTACTTATAGAAGTAGTCAGGTCTGGTCAAAGAGTCTGGTCTTAAAGATGAATTCTTGTTTAGGTTCTTCACCTTGCAGGAGTTCAAGTTAATAAACT